GTCCGGAGATAGGGATTAGCTCTATCTAGTGGGCCCAACTGTGTAGGAACCTGAAGACGGAGATAGAGTCCCATCTCCGAAACGTCGTTTTTTACGTTTTATATTTACTAGACGATGGATAATATCAAAGAAAAATTTTATTCAACGTCTGTTTATCACCAAGACAAAATCCAACATCTAGATCCTATCCTAAATTATCTTATCCACCCTGAATATTTAGTATTTTCCCACATCACGATTTTCCGAGTTACATTTTATTTTATTTTCCTACATCAAAAATGCTCTGTGTGTGTTAGTAGTTGGCAGATATAGGCTATTGTACTCAACGACATAAAGGCAGATAAGATTAATTCCTAAATTGCTCTGCACATGCCAAACACAACTATAGGTCATCCGACAACAAGGACACACATTTACGATGTTCTTAACGCTCCGTAGAAACACACGAAATTTGGTTTCGGAACCAGCGCAGGTGAGATGATAATATTAAAGTGAATCTTGAGGAAACTGGTTGGTAGAATGTGGATTGTATCTGGCTTATGATAGGAACCTGTGATGGATTCCTATAAATGCGGTGATGAAACTCCTGTTTCTACAAAAGGAGTAATTAATTGCTTGATTAACGAGCGACCATCGGCTTCTCAACAAAAGTTCTGCTTCATGAAGCTAATTAGTTCCTATGTTTCGTTCCTTCTTTGTAGTAGTTCATTAATTATTCTTCCCCTTTGACCGAGCCTTCTTTTTCAGATAAACTGGACAGCATGAAACACAATTATACGAAAGGGGAATAACAAATATTTTTAAGTTTCGATTTGTTAGGGATAATGTTACATTGATTTTCGCTCTATATTCATGGGGCGTGATAAATTTCCGATAAAGAGAGGTCTGGATTCCGTTTACTAATACTGCATATTTCTCCCTCACAATGAATATACCCCTGTGGACAGTCAGATCAAGATATAGAATGCCCAAAAAACATGTATACACATTGAATAATCCACTGTTCCCGCCGTTCGTCATCTGTATGCAGACGAGAACATGTGATATGTAAAGACCACAGTACCATCGTGACAACAGTTCCGGGCCCATGGATGGAACGCGGAGGTTCTGTTGAGTACCCCCCACGATCGCCAGATTCAACCCCGAGTGACTTTTTCTTGTGGGTTTCTTGAAGGACAAAACCAGCGACGCTTCAAAGGCGCCGAGCACGAAATATTGAAAGGTCTTGCCCTTCAATTTTGGTGGCCGCCTGTCAGTCGAGGCAAAAGACGGTCATTTTGAACACTATTCACGCTGATTCACGATGTAAAGGTTTGGTTTATTAAAATGTCTTCATTTCATTCATCGAATGTGAAGGAAGTTCGGTCTTGGATACTTCCATCCAATTAAGAAGTTCCCACTGTCACCTCTTCGGAGTTGTTAACCCTTTGAAGCCGAAGATCGTCTGAATATTATTTACGAATTCAGTCCGTACCGCGAAGAAAACACTACACCTCACCATTACGAAAATCAGCTGGTTAACCCTTTGAAGCCGAAGCTCGTCTTCATAATATTTACGAATCCAGACCGTACCACGAAGAAAACACTTCACTTAACCAATAGAAGTCGAATCAGGCGGTACCACATAAGATTTAACAAAGAACATCCCGGTCAAAGCCTTAAAGACAGGAACTCAGAAAATAGTTCGTCAGATTAGTCTTCATAGACATGAGCATCTGTAGATTTTCATGAGAATCCACATATTTCCGTGAAATAACATAAAACTCTTTTAGTCCCATGGCGATAAAATTCCTTTCTAAAGCCAGCCTAAAACTGGTACTTACTTCCTTGCCTTGACCTTTCGTGAAATTTTATACAGATTGAAAGCCAAGCGAAATCGGAGCACTCAGTTCTATCCAACCTGTAATACTGTCTCGAGTCCCTTACATTCGCTCAGAAAAGCAAAGCGCATGGGACAAATTCGATGATGCACATCTAGAAATGAAAGCAACTTGAATAAGCTCGTATCTCCCTTCCTTCTTCAGGCAAACTCTGCCACGTTCTGGCCACGAATATGAAAAAAAAAAAACAGAGACTAAGAAACTGCTTTTGTAACTAACCACCAGGTCTGTGATAATGTAGTCGAATTTAAGACCCATCCCCAACGTGTTCCTGATTCTAATATCGACCCCGAGCTTGCGTTTCTGAATTACGTGTTTAAGATTTTCCCCAGACCATCCAGGCACAAGCTTGGACAGTGCCTCGAAGTAGGCCACGACATTTTCCTTTCCCATCCTTGCAAATTCACCATTCATAATCATCGTAGCCTTACATCTGAAGACGAAATGTTTTGTATTTAAATATCAGACGATGGCGACTGCCCAAGTATCCACCAACTGTCAGGGTCATGAGGTTATATAATAATAATTAGTGTTCTGTCTGAGGACAGGTCCATATGAACAGGATCCTTCCATCCTTTTCTCGGACTGGGACCTGTTCATATACGTTCTTGGCAGATGATCCAGAAGTGGTTTGCCATTGCCTTCTTCTGTGTGTGAATGGAGTAATTGTTGGGATGCCACGGAGGAAAACTCCGTGTTGCCTAGACCACGGCCTTGCCCAACACAAGTTATAAATTCGGGCACCGCCGGGAATCGAACCCGAGACCCCAGGATTACAAGGCCAGCGTTCTAACCGCTAGACCACCGTGGCGGTGTCATGAGGTTACACTGACATAAAGGCCTGAAACAAAAATAATTCCATCCGGCACAAGGAATGCATAAAGTTCACCATGATTAATGTGTACTAAACCTTATCACTCACATTCAATTTTGCATCACAGACTTTCTCTAACAAAGACGAGGGAAAATGTTGTTACCTCCTCTGAATTTGTCTCATTCTAGTGAAATTCGCCGAATTAAAATCTTTTTTTGGGTTAAATTTGTCTGCAAGTACTTCCAAAATTAAAATTATCGCGATTCCACCCACCTTCGACAAGAAATACGACATTCCAATGGCATTAATTTCAATGTGCTTATAAATGTAAGAGGAGATTCTGTTAAAATCTGGAAGTCTGTCACGTGACACTTGTCCTTTC